ACATTTTATGGAGAAAATGAGAATATTTTTTTCACCCAGGGTTGATCTAATATTAAACTTCACGTTTGCTTAACAGAGCACATCTTCACAATAACAGGGTCCATTGCCAAAGGCAGCGTGCGGAGTGCTTGGAACCGCTCCCATCTCTTTCGGTTCACCTGTGAAAACATCTACGTGCTCCCTAGGACTGCATCTGTGGCTAGTTTTAAAGAATGACTATCCATGCAAATAGGCATGATTTCAGCATGAAACAGCCTGTAAAAATCAAGAAAATGCTCAATGCTTAGATGGCAGCGTGTATTTTTTTTTTTAAAGCGAGAAAGATTTCATCATGCAGACCTGGCTTCTGGTTTCTGTATGAAGCTACAACATTTTAAAAGAGCCTGTTTTAGAATATCGTGGAAGCAGTATGATGCCTCTTCATATAGGTGTGTGTATACATATATGTGTTTATGTATATAAATATGTATACACACATACATATTTGTATGGTTGCGAATAAAATATTTTTTATATGCCTCAAGATAAAATTTCCTGAATTTAGCATGGAAACAAGCCTTAATAACTTTAATATTGAGTTCAACGTCAAATTTGGAATAATCGGACTCCTCACACATTACTAATAAAATTGGTTTCAGAAAGATGCAATGACAGGTCTCTCACTAACACGTTAGATCTGATAAATCCGGTGGAGCTGTCAGGTGGGAGGAAAAAAGGAGGAAAGACTGAGACAAACAAGAAAAAAGATGAATTATTTCTCAGAAAGACTTGCATATTGAGGGAGAGGTCTTTTCTGCCTGCAGATCAGCTTTCTAAAAGTAGAGCTCATTGCCATGATTTTTTAAAAATTTACTTCTTTTCTTTTTGTGTGCAAATCCTTTTCTCTTTAACATCACCTGAAAAGCACACGGATCTCCCATCAACACACGGACCCAACTTTCTGCAGTGTTTTTCTCCACGTTCACCTTCACACCCAAACGGGATTTTGCCCCTCCCCGTCCTTGCTCTGGGAAGAGCACCTCTCTGCACCAGAGGCTCAGCAGTGACAGGCTGTGTGAGAGATGAGCACAAGGTCATCCCCAGGCATCCTTCCTTTCCCAGCTGCCATTTACCTCGGAGTCAACTGCACTTCCTCTCCTGGAGCCTAGGTCTCAACAGCTGCACCCCTGCCTCCTGCCAGAGCCCAGAGGAGGGCTGTGCTTTTCCTAAGGTGGAAAGAAATGATATTCTCGTCTTCAGTGGAGAAGAGTGGTAAACATGCCTGGTGGATCTTTTAAGGAAAAGCTAACCTGTAACTTCCTCGAAATTCACCAAACTACTCTGTGTTGTTGTTTTTTTGCATTTCTCTTTCAACCAGTCAGCATTTTTAGACTAAGTAATGATCCGTTTCTGTTGTGTGCTAAGAGAATTTAATTACTTTTAGGTCCTGTTGTACGATATCCAGCTGAGATATAATAAATAGGATGAAACAAATGGTAAAAATTATATAATCGAGCAAGACAAGGGATTATATTAATAGAGGAAATATATCTCTCCATATAGCTTGGACCTAAACTTAGAAATAATTGTACTAGTGCACTTTAGGTTTATAATCTATGGAGGCTATGGGCAAGATTAAATAATTATAACTAGTTGACACAGTATTTTACTAGCATAATGTTTCATAAACAGGATATATATATATATATATATATATATATATATATATACACACACACACACACACACACACACACATTTACCACATAAGAAACACAGTTAAATGAGCATAATGTAAATTAAATCACTTGAAAATACTTTCAAAGCACTTCCATGACTTCCCAATTCAGAATTTAGAGAATGCTATAGAATGACTTTATCATTGATATTGTCCTGTCCATTAATATTTTTAAAAAGTCCTTTATTTTTCAACGTATGTACTAAGCCACAATGTCTCAGCTACAATTATTATTGATTCTTGTGTGTGGTATGTGCCGTTAAGTCGGCTCCAACTCTTGGAGACCTTATGAATGAGTGATGACCAAAATGTCCAGTCCTCAACAGCCCTGCACAGCTTCTGTAGACTCCTGCCTATGGCTTCTTTTATGGAGCTAATCCATCTCATATTTGGTCTTCCTGTTTTCCTGCTGCCTTCTATTTTCCCCAGCATTATTGTCATCTTGTATTTTAATTTTAACATTAATTTTAAGTTTAACCAGGCAACCTGAAACCTCCTGTTCAGCAGGGGTGAACATAAGTATCAGCCAGTATGCAGAATATTACTGATGTTGAATTTGAACTCAAATGTATTAGTGATTAGATATACATAATCTATTCCTGTAAACTCCTCATTAATTAAGTTGAACATCTATAGAGAATATTTTTCACTATTAAATATTTTTGTTGTACCATTTGGCACAAATGCTCTAATAATTCCTATGCAACGGATATCTTAGCATAGCAGATTCCTTCTAGTAAAATACAAGAATAAATATCCAGGTATAATCAGGTCTGATTTTAATTACTCCAAAAGATTCTTAATTAAAATTGGAGTGATCTGACATCCTGTTTAACATAATCCTAAGGAAGCTGATGACTTAATGTTAGCAGAGAAGAATTTTCTGTGAAGAATTTTTAAGGAACACTCTAGTGTGAAGTAGAAAGTGGTAAAGTGCTCTGACTTTAATCAAGAACTTATTTTGGGGGAGGAGAGTGCAACTTTTATGCTTCTACCTGGAGTCCTTATTCTGGACAAAGACGTGTTTCTTTACAGTAATTATCCAGATAGTTCAGACAAGTCTCTTGTGAGGCAGGGGAATTGTAAGGTTGGCATGGTTTCCTGTTTGGACTCTTTAGATTATCTGTCTTCGTTGATAAAAAAAATTTTTTTTAAGAAATTGCTCAGGCTTACACTTTGCTTCTTTTAGAAAACAACCTTTGAATGGGCCCCTCATCTACTTGGATCAACCTGGTTATGAAATTTCAAATGGAATATCATCAATAAATTAATCTGGGAATCAGTAATTCAAAGGGGGGGGGAATCTGATGATTTGATTTAGATAGCTTCCACCTTCCCCAAAATCTCTAAGCTGTCCCTTCACTGTCCCCTTCATTTTTTTGCTAATTAGCAACTTTTCCTTTGTAGGTGTTTCTACCTACTAGCAGGTTAAGAAAACCTTTTGTTTATTCTGAAGAACTCGCTTGGCGTAAGTTAATATTCCAATGAACTGAGATTGCATTGTCAAAACCTTATATCAGATTTTAAAATTTCCTCTCATCATAGAGTTCTCAAATCATAACCATTTCATTTAAAATTCCTCCATCCTATCAAAAATTCCATACATTTTTCACCAGTAAAGTGAACACAGAACATTTTCTGAGACATACCTAAAATATTTTTTTCTACTTATTTAAAGAGTAATAATTCACTGAGTTAGTAAATCAGAGTGAGAAGTAATCTCAAGAAAAGACACATTTTTTTTCCTGTTGAAATTTAAAATACTCTAAATGTCCTCCGAAGCTTTAGAATACACTAGGCAATAAGATTTGAGAAATCCCTTGTGTATATGTCCTTTCCAATTTATACAGGTACTTAATTAGAATCCTGTAACAACACAGCATGCACAATCCATCTTCCTATTATGAAATCAGTAACATTTTATAATTTCTTTTGTTAATCCTGAACCTAAAAAATTTCTTATATAATAAGTTGCAAATGCAAGATAATTCCCGAAATGATACAAGAAATTCAAGGGAAAAGGCCTATTTGCACTTTGAACAAATAAACAGCCAACCTGGCAGCTACCTTATGTTTTAAGATCACAAGTGCCACTTGTAGAGGGCCGATGCTAGGAAATGAATAAAGTGGGAACAAAGATGCATGTTCTGTATGCGTGACTTTTTCCCCCACAAGGTGGTGATTAAACTAAACAGAATTCTGCATAATGGACACATAAAAATATCAATAAGTGCCAAGCACAGATAACCCCTATTAAAAATAAGCAGAACATATCCATAGAGGACATTTTAATTATGAAAGAACTTCAAAACCATCCAAGGAAAGTATTGGAGGGAAACTTTGATGTTTAAGTCGAAAGAATAAATGGCACATATCTCATTTTCATGAAACAATGAGCATCGCCCAAGCAACAAAGCCAACAAAAACCATCCACCATCCAACCTAATTCTATGCAACTCAAGTAGTAACCTGTGTAAAGAAAAAAATGTAAAGATCAAGTATTAAGAATCCAGATACAGTGCTTACATTGAATTCTCAACATCTTCCCTCACGCATTAAGACACAGTCCTTACCTTCGTCTGTGTTACCATTACATAAACATAGCCATGTTATGTTGCATGGACAGGTTAACCCAAATACTCCCCTTTGACTTCCCCACTACGTACAGCCCATTTCATTTCGAAAATACTCAGAAGTTCTTGTAAGGAACTCTTCATAGAACTGACTGCCCGCATCTTGCATCCAACAGAAAAGCATTTACCTCTCACGTACTTGAGATTTCCCTTCCCCATCAAAGTAATAACTAGGACATCTGGCACATGTCTGGTACAATGACAGGCTCATTCTACTTTATGAGAATATTTAACATATGACTTGAAAGAGTTCATGCACATACCTATTCTTTCTGGGCAGAGAGAAAGCACACTAAAAAGATAAGCTTTCACAACAGTAACACTTCCAAACTGACTTTGGTATTCTTGGCAGTTACACACATCACCCACGGCTGTCCAAAACACACACACACACAAAAGATAGCCCTCACCCCCTCCCTCCACAGACCTGGGAGACAGACATACACTGGACGGAAGCGAAGGGAAAGTCAATCTCCCTCCACCTGCTGCCTGAAGTGGGGGTACTTTCAGCCGCCTGGCAGACAGAAGCCTGAGACACAGCCTCAGCAGCCGCCTGCCAACATCCTTAAGAAAAATAAACACACACACACACACACACACACACACACACACACACAAACGTGTCCCCTACCCTCAACCAAAGAACTCACATGGCAAGGGCTCAAAACATAACAACAGCCCATTCCCATTAGCCTGGACAATCCTATTAACCAGGGCAACCATAAATTCATAAATCTCTACAACCCCGGGGCACGCATTGTGGTCTGGAACTGCACAGACACACACACAGACACAGAGGAAATTTGCACCTGTCTTTCTTGACATAACACACCTGTCAGGCCCTGCTCATGCGCATTCTGCTAATAGACCTCTGCCTACCTAGTTTAGGAAAGGGATTTTTTTAATTTTTATGGGAGGGTATAGGTGGAAGAGAGAGAGAGAGAGAGAGAGAGAGAGAGAGAGAGAGAGAGAGAGAGAGAGAGAGACAAGAGAAGAAACTTCCAGCCTTGACTTTGAGAGAAGGCCATCCTGTACTTGGTCTGTTTTTATAAGCTCAAGGAGACAACACAGACCTTCTTGGAAAAATTAAAACAAGCAGGTGAGTTCCCAGCCTCCCCCCAGGCGGAGTCGGGTTCTGGACTGCCAAGAACAGCAGCAGTGTCACACTCCTACCTGCCTCCTTGGGCTATTTAAGACGACCGCCTACACCTGCCTTCTCCTTTTCTCCATCGGCCTGGAGGACTCCACTCCCAAAGTGCTGAAAGGGGGTGGGAGACCTCCAGTCTCTCAAAATCTACTCCCCCATCCCAAAGCCACACTCTCCAGCAGCGTTCAGCTTTAGCAGGAGGAGTAACTGGCCGGCACAGCACTGCAACCAACAACTCGCTAAACTGGACTTTGGGTGATGTCTCCCCTCAACCCCGCCGCCCACCCTCAGACCCCCCCTCAGACCCCCCCCCCTGCAGCCCCCTCCCTGTCTGTTCAGGCAAGATAGCAGCTCTTCCTGTCCTCACTCTTCTTCCCACTAACAATTACCCTCACTCTCCTTTCCTTCCACCCCAGTCCTCCAAACTGGGGCAAAACTGTAGGTACCACCCAGCCAGGACTCGATCCCAGCGGCCCAACACCACAGGCTGCCAGCGATGACTGCGAGAGTCTGGGCCTCTCGAGTCCGCTGCCCAAGAACACCCCCCACCCGAGCGCGATCTGGGGGTCCTCCCGCGGCGCTGGGGCACCCATCCCTCTGTCCCACGACCCCTCCAGGCTCCCGGGGCGGCCTGACCCCACTCAACTTGACCTACCCCGGGTTTCCTGGAGCTCAGGAGAGGGGGGCGCCGCGCTCATTGCCCGGGACCATCTCTCCACCGCTCCAACCCCGATTTCAACATTTCGGCTACCGCGGCGTTGGGAGAGGAAAGTAACAGAGCGCCCCCTCTGCCCTCTCCCCACCTCCCTGCTCCCTGGCCCTCCGCCGGGGTTCAAAAGGAGAAGTGAAAGGTATGCAAATGACAAGCAAATTGGAAGAGCCTGGAAGAAAGGCAGCTGTAATAAAGTAGACAAAGAGAAGGGACGTGGGGGCTGGCCCAGGAGTTTTCACCGGGGACACGGGAAGGTTGAGGCTCGGCGGAAAGCGGGGATCCGGACGAACAAAAAGCGACCCCATGTCCCCCCAGGGCCCTCTCTCCAGAGAAGCGAGGGCGAGAGAAAGAGGAAAGGAAGCGGACGCCCCCGCGCACCCCAGCCCGGGACACAAAAGGTGACAAGATCAGCGCCAAGTCCAGCACTGCCAACCTCCCCCCCCACATCGGCACCGCCACCGCCAACCCCGGCCACCAGCGGGAAAGAGAAAGAAATAAAAGCCCGAGCGAGCGGATCACTTACTCTTCGGAACTGGGGAGAGCGGAGCGCGGAGTTCCACGGAGGCTCCTGCCCAGAAACCGTGTTGCAGGCGGTTTTCTTCTGGTTCATTTAAATAACACCATTTTCTCCTGGGGGGAGGGAGAAAAAAAAAAGATGTTGACACGCGTCTAAGTCCGGGGAGTCTCTCTTTTCTTCCCATTGAAGAACAAGCCAGCACAAGTGGCTCTGGAAAAGGGGAGGGGACTGGCGAGGGGACAGGAGGTACTTACGCGGTGCCGAGCGCAGGGGGACCGCGCCGCGCTGTGTCTGCGCCCCCGCCGGCGAGAGGACCGCGCGCGCTCGCGCCCGGGGAGCTCTGGCGGGCGGTGAATAGAATAACTGGACCAGGGACGGTGAGTGTGCGACAGCGAGCCAGTGATGGGGCGAGTGGGAGAGGGGCGAGCGAGCAGAGAGCGTGGGGAGGGGGAGAGAGAGCGAGAGGAGAAGAAAAGAGGAGAGAGGAGAAGAGCGAAGGGAGCCGAAGAGAAGAGCAGGGGGAAGGCGCGGAGCCCGGCGGAGCGGGCGGACTCGGCGAGGCTCCCGGCGCCTCCGCTCGCCCGGCTGCACGGGTGTCTGACTCCCGAGCGCTCCCTCCGCTGAGGGCTGCGCTCCACAACAAGATTTACTTTAAGACACAGCTGAAGGAAACAGGAAGACTGCACGTCACAGTCTGACTGACGTACCCGGCCCCGACACCCAATCGCGAGGCGCCTTCGGATGCAAGGGGGGATAGCCAGGCAAGAGAACTTGGGAGGAAAAAAATAGATCCAAGGGGTGGGGGCGAAGGGCTGGGAAAAGAGGAGGGGAGAGGGGCCCCCGCGCTCCTCCTCCCCCGCCTCCACCCCAGGCCTCTACCCCCACCCCCACCCACCCGTGCCCCGCGGCTGCTGCGGGGCCACTGGCCAGCCGCGCCGGGGCCGGGGCGAGCCGTCTGCGGGCGCGATGCACCGCGGGCGAGGGCGCGACCGGCGCTCCGCTCACTCCAGCTCTTCCAGGACGCAGGCCGTCTTTCTTACCACCCCCTCTTCATTTCACAGAGACAGCCCGGGAGTTCGCCCAGGGCTCCCCGGACTTGGGTGAAGGAAGGCACGGAAAAGTACCCTGCCTGGAGAAAAGTGTGGCTGCTTTTTTTTTTTTATTAAGAGTTTGGGGTGGTATAGGAGGAGGGAGTGCGGGTCCTTAAATCATTCCACTTTTAAAATAATTATAGGTAGTCTCAAGCATACAGGCCACTCGCAGAATTTTAAAGAGCAGGTGGACACTACGATACAGGTGGGTTTGGGATTAAATAATAGATGCCAGAGGTTTTCCACTCCGGCTCCGATGCATCTGGTATCAGAAGACCAGCACTGGCCGAATCCCAGTCAACCCCTCCTCGAAATGATCAAGAACAATCCTAGCCCTTGGTCGCCTCCGACAACGTTATTTGGATGGCCCGCGCGGCAGCCTCAAAGAAAATGTTAACAAACATTATCTGGAAGTTACCCCTCAGTCACTCACCCCAGAATAACCAAAGAGATGGGTGTCAAACACCATTTACATCATCCTGAAGCCCGGGTGACAAACTTTAAAATGCATTAGGTAAGAAAATTCAAACGCTTAAACATCGAGCTTCAACATAAAGCCATAGAAAATTCACTTCGTTTTGCCATATCTGGGGTGAAAAATAACTAGCGAGCTTGCTTTAGATATCGTGGCTCGTAAAGAGCTCCTTGGGTTTGCAAGTTACAAACGCTGAGGAGGGAGCCTTCAGTCCTGCCGCCAGGACATCTCTTTCTCCCGGCACAGTAAATGGCTTTTAAGAAAGCAACCGAGTTTATGACGTTAAGGTCCTAAAAATGATAAGACTTGCAAGGGCTGCAAAGCAGAAACCTTCATACTTAGTTGATCAGATACTCATTTTCTTAGGTAGGATGGGGGCAAGAATTCTTTGTGTCCCTCAAGCTTAATCAGATCAAAGGTTGAACCATGTTGCATCCTGACAACAGGGTGTTTATGAGGTGTGTTACAAGTACTCGGGAACACTACCACCAGCTTCTGCAAACACACACACACACACACACACACACACACACACACACACACCTCTCCTAGGACAGTTACCATTTCAGCCTCAAATTCATCCAACTGTGAGGAAGTATTCTGTTTGAATAATAGCAATGATACTATGTCCAACCCTATGCCCTATAGGAAATTTTTGGCATTGGATTCAAACACTGAAAAGAAGAAAAAAAAAATCAGGCTGTCCAGGTTAGCTGTCCAGGACAAGAAAGGAGACTTGCTTGAGCATCCCAGCCTTCATTTCTTCCCTTTGGAAACCCTCAGGCACGCCCTGCACCCCATTACTGAAACGACACAGACATGCACAAACACACCAATCACACTTGCGTGATAGGCTACTGTATCAAGTTCTCTAATGGAGATACGACATTTTAGGTTGGGAATAGAAGTAATCTACCAGCATGCCCATTAAATGCAGTATGGAATGATGTTTCTATTGGTTGGGTCCTTTCGAGGTAAGCGGGTGTCTTGAGTAGGAAAATTTGGATAGAGGACACTGTTTTTCTTCTTTTTCCTCCTATAATTTTTTCTTGAAGCGTCCCAGTGTACACGTGTGTTAGAGCCAGCCCGTACATAACCTGGTGGGAGTAAAGGATACATACCCTCCACACCGTCACCCCATATGCTAAGTTTGACATTTAAAAGGGAAGAGGGCAGGGAAGGAGGAAAGCTGAGAGGGAAAAGATTCAGACTCTGAAAGGAATCGCCCCCAAGCTTATGTCCATTGCACCTAGCGCTCCGATATACCTTTTGCACACGCTACACGCGGGAACTAACGGCGGGAAAAGTTTCCTTCGAGCCTTAGTACTCGTCTCACTCCCCGAGTCGAAGTCGGGGTAACCCGCTGGGCAAACGAGGAAGCGCCCCCACCCCTCGCCTGTGCGGCCCGAGGCTCGCGGCTCGCTCCGCTGGCCGCGGCGGTTCGCAGCCCGCCTTGGGGCGCAGGAGCTGATGTTGAAATAGAAGCGCGCGACACTGGGCGGGCGAGCGAGCTCGGGTCCGCAGCCCGGCTCCGTGAGCGGCGTACCGGGGCCCGGCAGGTCCCCTAGGTCGGGGCGACGTACCAGCCAGGCTCCTGGCCAACCTCTCCCGCCCGAGCTGCGGCGCTCTCCCGGGTCTCGCGCCGCCCTGGAGCGAGGCGTGAGGCCGGAGGCCCCTATCTGCTGCGACTCCCGTTTGCTTTCTGATAGGGGAGAAGCGATCAGTCAGCCCGGAGACGACCAGTCGCCTGGAGATTGGGCTCCATCTGCGAAGAAACCAGCGGCCAAGCCTAGGGGTCAGTCCCTTCCCCCGCCCTGCTGCCAACACAACCGCAGTCACTTAAAAGTTACCCCGAATTCGGACCAGTCTTCCAACCCACCCCATCCCTGCAGGCTGCGTGTGCTCGTGTATCGGAAGGGTGATCGGTGGGTTCTCACGCAAACTCGCAGTAATCACTTGTGCATCTGTTCTGGGTTAAGCACACTTCGCCTTGATATTTCCTCCGTGTTATTCCATCCCCCTCCCCCTGTCCTTTCTTAAAGCCGTGGGTGGGGGGTCCCAGAGAAGACTGCATTTAAAGTAATTTAAAACCTTGCAAACAACTGTCATCAGATCCTACACAAACCAATTCTAGCAACTTCCACCAGATCCAGTTGAGAAACGGACCGTGGGCGTGGATTTCAGGCGAAGATGCTGGAGATCCTGCCGGACTCTCTCTCTCTCTCTCTCTCTCTCTCTCTCTCTCACACACACACACACACACACACACACACACACACACACACACACACACCACCGTCCACCACCCAGAAGAAGGGATGAGAAAGAAAGAAAAACCAACTCCGGGCAGGCCTGCTCCAAGCCGCCTAGAGGCAGACCCACTGACCTCCCTATTCTCGCCCCGCTCCCAAGTGTGACCCCAAGCCCAACCTGAATTTGTTCTGAGTGTCTGAATGGTGGTGGTGGGGGGGGGGGGCGGGGGCGTGAAATGCCACAAGATCAGCAGCAATAGCAGCTGCGCGTTTCTCTCCTGGGAACCCCACTGCTTCGAAGCCGGGAATGGTGTTTGTTTAACCAACAGCTCTCAAAGTAAACAGGCGGACCACTCCGAAGAAGGTGAAATATACAACCCTGACTAGAATGTTGGGTCCGGGTGCTGGCAGGAAAAAAGTAATTTTTAAAAACAATGCAGTCCCCACCCACCCCAATAATAGCCCACCACAAAGAGCTTAAAAGGACCCGTCATTTTGTCATAAAAGTATCAATTCATTGAAAGGATTCATTGCTATAAAGTTACCTCCAAGCAGATCACGCCTCCCCCCCAAACACAGCCCTCCCGCGGGGCGAGTGGGGCGGTGATCGGGGTCTGAGGGGGCAAACTATGACTCGATTTCGGGGAAGTGGGCAGCAGCAGTCAAAGGAAGGTGCGTTCCCTCCCCGCGAGAGGAGGCTGGGAGCTCTGGGCCGCCAGCCCTGGCTTTGCCTCAGGCACCGAACTTTCCAATATCAAGATATTAACAGATGGTGGTGAGCACATGGAGGGCTGTTACTTACATAATCCAGCCACTCGGCCGGCCGCGCAGAGCCCGGCGAGGCGCCCGCCAGGCCGCGCGCGCGCCTTGCGAGGGGTGCTGTTGCGCCCCCAAATAACGTGCCTTGCTCCCACCCCCACCGGGCCCTTTGAGGGCTCGGATTTAGAAGGGTCCTGATCTCAAGCGAGGGGTGGGGAGGACGCGCACGTTGATCTGATTGTGCTTTATTCTCTGTAGTGAAGAAGCTGGAGACCTAAGGGTCTAGGGAAGCGGAGGGCACGCTTTCGGGGAGAACGGGACCGTCTCCCTCGGTAACTGGGGGTGCCAGGTAGTAGAATTTACCCAATGTACACCCCTCCCTCTTCGGCTCCAATTAGCATATCTGTCATTGTCACGTAAATACAAAGGCAGGCTCTGGCCGCTGCCTGCAGTGGGGTGGGTGAGGGCGCGAGTGCCCGGGGACGCCTCTGCACGCGGGGGCGCCGTGGGCAAAGTTACGCACAGCCCGGGGCACCGCGACGCTTCCGCGCGTCGGCAGGTTCTTAAGCGCCGGTTCGTTCGCGCGCGCGGGGCGTCCCTTTCGGCTGGGAGGCCGCCGAGTGCCGTCACGCCCGCCGCCACCTCCCGGGAGGCCAGTCCCTCCGGGTGGGCCGGGGTGCCTCCTCCGCACGCGTGCTGGGGGACGTGTGTGTGGGCCCAGCCTCCTCCCCGATAGCGACCCGGAGCCGCCGAAACCCGTGAGGAACACGCCTGCGTGCGCGGGGAAAGTTTCGGGGTAGGAGGGAAGCCTGGGAGTCTCCCCTCCCGGCCCTCGGTGGAGCGGGGCTGCCTCGCCCGGGCTTCCTCCCGCTCTCCTCCTCCCCCCGGCCCTTCATCCACGCCGCGGCCACGCGCTAGGTGTCGCGGCCTCTGGACACAGAGGGGCCGAGCGCGCGGGGCTGCAGCCGCGGCGCCTGGTTCGGGGCGGAGCGCGCGCCCTTCCCGCCCTGGCGGCCCCGGGGGGTCCCGTTCCCCGGCTCCCGCCCGGCGTCCCCTGCCTCCTCCGGGCCCCCCCGCAGGCGCTAGGCCTGCCGGGCTGGCTGGGGCTCGGCGCACGCCTGCCCGGCGCAGGGGGCAGCCACCTGCTCCCAGCGCGGCGCGGAGCTGGGGGACACGGTGCGGGCCGCCAGCGCTGCCACCGCGGCCGCCGGCTCCCCTCCCCCGCCGCCAGCCTGTTGCTGCGGGACGCTGGCGCCCACAGCCGGCTGGTGCGTTCCACCTGCGAGTGGGGGCCCTCGGGGGACCTAAGAGAGGGGCGGGGTCCTTTTAAGGGATGGGCATCTCCCCCCACCCCCCGCCCATGCCTTTTCTTCTGCAATTAGTCTACGAATATTTGGCCGTTATTCCCAGCTTTCCTTTCTTGGATCTTTCAAGTCAAGGGTGTGGATTCGTAGGAGGGGCTTTGGGGATAGGACTTGGGTGAACCCTGCTGTCCATATTTCCAGGCTTTTATTCAGGACGACCAGCCGGTTAGAAATACATAAATAGGCGCAGGCTGGGCACAGAGGGGGTAGAGAAGGGAGCTCCCAGTTTGGATTTATTGGGGGGGGGGGGTGACACTGAGAAGTTGCATTTTGTTTAAATTAGAGCAAGACAAAGTTGAAAGCCAGGTTTCTATAATTTTTCTGGTAATATTTCTTTTATGAAGTATTTAAGTGTCTGTTTGTCATCATTTTGAGATCAAAAGGAAAATCCATATGCTGCATAGTTTTTCGAAATTGCTATTTAAATATGTTACCCAACGTGGAGGAGGCTGCTGGGAGGCAGGCTGGTGACAGGGATAGCTGGATGGTTTGATGTGAACCAGGGTTCCCGAGACCTGGCTCATCCTCAAGAATCACCAAGGGAACTTTTTAAAAAATAAGGATTTCTGGGCCCACCCCTGCTGGGCAGTCAGCCGGAAGGCTGAGAATCTAGGGGTCATACTGTTTTTCCAATTACTGCTCAGCCAGGTACTGACTCGGTGACCTTGGGTGTATTATTTAATCTATCCAAGCCTCAGTTCTTTTTATCTGCTAAGTGGGGGTAATATCCAACTCATGGAGTTTTTTTTAATCGAGTTGCTGACTTTGACGTTAGTAAAATTATTCAGCACACAATTGGTACTCAGTAAATGGAACCTATTTTGTCTACAAACGTGTGCTCTACACACTGGAGCTGACAGGTACTTCTATACAGACACCCCCTACCCCCAATATTTTGGTGAAGCTAACGTGATTGTCATTCCATGTGTCAATCACGATGAAGCTAACATGATTCTCATTCCATGTATGCACATTTTAGTTCATGCTTAGCTGCTACTTGGGGCACTTTAGATGCTCACCTCCCCACCTTTAAGGCCACAAAAAATAAGTGAGAATTGGTGGGTGTTTGGAAGCTAGGCCCTGTGCTCTTGGACCTATGGCAGACAGGAGGCATTTACCAATCTAAATTTTTCTTTCTTTCTTTCTTTTTGGTCCTTTCACCTTACCTGCTTTATAGATGGAAACCTTTCTTATAGGAGCTGCGCATCAGACCCATGAACCCACAGGACAAAACATTCTATTCAAGGAGGGAACAGCAAGAAGGAAAAGGTCAACATTCCTAGGTAAAACTAAAAAAAAAAAAAAATTATATCATTTATCATTATGTTTTTACATGTCAGAATAAACAACTGCCCCAAATCTGCATGTAGTAAAATGCAACCCTTCATGAAAGTATGTTCAAACCAATGACTGTAGGCACACCCCAAGGTAATTAAGAGCCCGGCCAAAGACAGCTGTGAGAAGGAACGAGCTAGGTGGGAAGGTGCCATCCCTGGCTGTGACTGTGCAGCAGTGTGAGGGAAAAAAGCCAGAGGAATGGCTTGGGCTGAACCAGCAGGGACCAGATCAAGAAGGCTGACAGTTTTAGAATGGGAGATGGCCATGAGAGGCTAATTACACATTCCAAGGAAGGTGTTTTGCTGGTATCCTCAGAAGGCTTCAGATAAGTAATCAGGGTGTATTGCTGGGAAGGGGTGAGGAAGAGAATGCCAGCTCCGGGTGTCCACGGGCCCAGCCCCTAGTGAATGAACCCGGGGGCTGGGAGCCGGCCAAAGCCCAGCCATCCAGCCAGATGCCTGTCCTCTGAGGGCTGGTGGATATCTTTAGGCAGGTGTGTAAGATTCCTGGTCTCTGGCAACTCGCTGGAGGGCAGGCTTGGAATTGGCAGGGGCGGGAGGGGGGATGTCTGTGACTTTAGGGGACAAAACAAAGAACCTCTAACTACAGCGAAACACTCACCAGGAGTCAAGTTGTAGGGGGACAGGTAACAACTTCTGATTTCTTATCCCAAGCACCCTCCTGGCTAAAGGAGTGCTTTTGCCTACACTTGTGGCAAGGGGATGGAAAGGGACAGGGCAGAAGCTGGGAGGGGAAGCGTGCTGTATGGGGGACTGAGTATGGAAGGGCAGGGCAGGTAGGGGGAGATAGTGGGTGTGGGGTGGGGAGAACAGGTGGGAAGGGAGTGTGTGGGTGGAGAGGCATTGCTGAGTAGGGGTGAAGCCAGAGTATAGATGAAGGGGTGGGGTGGGGGAAGTGGATGTCAGGAGAAGGTGAATGGGGTGGTGGGGGTAGCCTATAGCTGGGGGTGGCAAGGAAGCAGAGATAGGGGAAGAGTGAGGAGGTGGGAGTTCTATTGGGAGGAGCCTGTACCTGCGGTGGGTAGGTGGGTATCTGGTGGGGGGGGACTGGGGAGAGGTGTCCAAGACCCAAAGGAGCTCCAGTGCCCCAGGGCAGGCTAGGTGCAGGGGAAGGCAGGAGGAAAAGCCCACAGGAGGGAGGCTAAATTCAGCGCTTGCTTAGACCCAGGGAGAAGGGCTAGGTCTTGTCGCCCTCCTGCCCTTACTTCGGCTGAGAGACTTTGGCACACTCGCTAATCCCAGGTTGGCAGGAAGGCCTGGGTCCCCACCTCCAAGCAGCAGCCACAGCAGGTGCCTCAAAGGCTGGACATCCGGGATTCTTCTGGGAGGCGGGCGTGGGGGCGGAGACCCGCGCCTTACCCAGCAGCGCCTCCACTGGCCCTGAACAGGCATAGGCTTCCTCCATGTCCCCTCCAGACCCACCCTAGGCCAGTGTGGTTCCCTCTCTCCGGGAGGTCCCCTGAGCACTGTTTTCCTCCCAGATGAGGTGAGTTCACCCCTTCATCTCCATCAAGCGAATCCTCAGGTGGTGGTGGGTCAGGGGGTGGGGGTGGGGAGAAGGGGGCAGGAGGCTGGGGAGAGGGGTCCAAGACCCAGAGTGGTCTCAAGGAAGATGGAATAATTCAGTTCAACAGATAATTACTGTTTGCAGGACACTGCTAAGCATGGCAGTTGGTGACTCTGTTGAGAGAGCAGATTTTGGTTCTTTGCCAACCCCGGTGGACAGTGATTTTCTGTGTTTGATTAGTCAGGTTTCTGAAGCCTCAATTAGGGGCCCTCTCTAGGAGAATCTGGACGAGGGGCAGAAGTGTCAACACCTCTTCGCCGCTCAATCCTCCAAAGTGGTCTTTCAGTGAGAATGGGGAAGGAGGCAAACAGGCAGGGATAAGTGTGGGGACTAAAAACAATAATGCTTTCCCACCCACCTTCTATGTTCTCCTAGCTGGGCTGATAATCACATTAACCGAAGAAAATGAAATGTTTAATACACGTGCCTGGGGAACTCACATAAGCGTGGAAAATTGAAAGACGGAGGCAGCATGGGGCATATATGATATTTTTGACAAAGGAGAAAGTTTTTCCTAAGTGGGGTGGGTGATTTACAGGCAGTTCACATGGCGGGCAACGTCTTGGTAGGCAACTCAGAGACCCTGGAATCCTGGACGTGTCTAGCTAGCGGGCCCCTGCCTAAAGCTCCCTTAGTTGCCAAACTGAATTCAAATTAGGCGACGGGGACATCCTTACATTTCCTTCCCAAAGCAGGTTTTTCTGTCTGAATGTCTTGAGCAGGAAAGCGGGGAGGGCCACAGGTTCTTTCGGAGTCTTCTGTTTCTTCATAACCAGTTTACAATTAATATCCCGAAAGGCAGCTTCAAGGGGGGCAAAACGTTGGTCCCCTTCATAAGCAGGGATAGAGAATTCTGGCATCTGTTGAGCATTTTCTATGTCAGAACCGAGCCCGGTGTTTGGTACCTGGCATTTGCATGTCCTTAACCCCATCATGCTGTAGGTGAGAAGACACGCCATCAACTTAAAGATGGCCTCTGGGAGAGAAGGGAAACACAATGACCCTCCACGCGCAATGCATTGTAAGACATACCGGTTTCCGGAACATACTGAAATGTGAGAAAAAAAGTGAACCTTAAAAGTTTGCAGTCATCGTCTGACTCCCTAAATGGACTGCAAGGAACAGGAGCCACTGAAATGTTTTGAACATATAACGATTGTACTTATTGCCTACCAAGCACCAGGCATCACTATAGTCACCATTTTTAGAAATAAGGTACAAGTGTAATACTCCCAACCGCCCTGCTAAGAGTGATCCCCACTGTGTGCATGAGTAAATGGAGAGTGGGGGAGGTTTCACCACTTGCTCAAGGCCACAAAGACAGCAAGTACAGTTGGAATTGGAACCCAGGTTTGCCTGGGGTCAGAGCCAGCACAGTTCCTGCTGGGGCACCTAACCTCTGCAGGCATTGGGTTTTGTCAGCTTTTTCCCAGCCCTGGTTCTGTCCTGACCTTTTTACTATCAACACCCCTCTCCCAGCAATGAGATTTCCCAGAGGAGAATGCAATTCATTGGTGGGGGGGAGGGGGGGCAGGCAGAAGGTACAAAATAGTCAAATTACCATTTTTTTCAGACTCAAATAAAGTCTTTAAAGGGTCAAAACCACGCACTTCAGGTTTTGCTGTGCACTGCAGGAAGCCCATGAATTCAAGGATCCCTGTATTGCTGAAAATAGAATTGTAAAAAAAAAAATAAAAGGGGTGGGGGGAGAAAGCGAAGGAAACTAATCCTATTAAACGTGGTAGCATGTTTTTGTGGCACGCAGGGAGAGATTATGCACAGGAAAGGGGATAAGCACTGCTTCAGTTTCACTAAACTAATGTGACAACTTGTCATTGGAAATCTTTGCAGCTTGTTAGTAGATGACTAGCTGATTCAGAAGTGTTTTCTATCATTCCCTTTGTGTCTCCCATGAGGTTTTTTTTTTCCTAAAATTTCTTTCTTTTCCTGTTTCTTTCTTACCCACGCTGCTCTGTTTTGCTTTTTAATCTTTCATGTCTCCTTCAAGTCCAAACATTTAGCTGGCTCTAATCAAGATTTGGTTTTGAAGATGCCCTTCGACCTTGCGTTGCCCAGAGAAGCCAGGGAGGGAAGACAGCTTTCCATCCTCAATCGGAGTCCGGGGTCTGCCGGGTGGCTTGAAAAACCAAACTCCTGGAAGAAAATTCTCATTTCAGATTTCATTTTTCTGCAGGCCCTCTCCTTTTCCCTTCCCTCTCTTCTTTCTCTCTTTTTTTATCCTCTTATTCTCTTTCTGCCTTTCGTTTGCACGCCTCTGTCTTTTCTCGCTTGCCTCTTTCTCCTGTTTTCCTCATTTCCTTCTTCTCTCTTGCTTTCTTCCCACTTTCTCTTTCATCCAATTTCTTTTCCCCTCTTCAGTTCACTCCAGTAACTCTCATTCTTCCTTTCCTTCATGGAGAAAAGTTATGACTCTCTCAAGGCGGTGCTTTTCCCATGGAATTCGCTCCTGGTGAAGGGGGCAGTGTTTCAGGGAGGGGGCCCAGGGCCGGCCATCATAGACAGGCAGGGAACAATCAGCTGATCTAAATTAAGAGGAAGCAAGGGTTTTAGGCTTGGTCTCTGTCTTTCCAAAGCAGGTGTCCAGCTTGTTTGGAAATGACCGTCTCTCTCTTTAGCTTTGGCATCACTCTCTCCCACTGTCGTCCTCCCTCCCCCGCTCCAACTTTCCCCACTGGCTTACCACCAGAGGCGAGATGTTGAGTCAATGGAAAAACAACATTCGCCGACATTAAAGGGAGACTGTTTAGAAAAGGAAGGCCCTGCTGAGGTGCAGAGGAAGCCTGTACATTAACACGGGCCACCTCTTATCTGGGGCAGCTGGGCCTGAGCTGCCTGTGTGGATTCCCTGGCTTTGCCAAGAGGCCTTCACACAGAGAGGCCGCCTTGCGAGGTGGGGGGCTGACTCTGCCCCTTGGGCTTCACCAGCACTTTCAGAGACACAAAGTCATTGCTCCCCCCCTCCCTGTCCCCCCCCCCCCCCAGCAGTTTCATGGGAAAACCTCCTGGACCAATAAGCCAAGTTCTCTAAAGGACAGCACTCGTCCAGGCCTGCTCTGGACACTCCTCACCATCAACCTGGCCCCTCTCTTTGCCAGTCCTTTTGAGGACTCCCATTCTGAGCTGAACGCGAATTATGGGGAAGGACACGCTAAAGTGACCCAAAGGAGGAGAAGAAAAAAAAGCACGTGGGTAGGTTCACCCTGGCTCTAAATTGCTTACCGTTAAGTCTCGAGCCAGCTCCTGATGGAAAGATAAGGTAAATCCCTAATCAGTCAATAATTAACCGAAGCTCCGTTAATGGCCCAGTCAACCAAATCCTGCTGACACCTTCAAGAAC